AAAGTCAGCTTCTTTTGGCAGCGCTCACAGGATAATGTACCATTTTTTTTAAGCTAACTTTTCAAAAGTGAAAGTCATAATAGAATTAGTAAAATGTGTAATTCAGCTTGCAGTGAGTGATCTAATACACCCAGTGGGTTAAACTCTTCTCTCTCATTACTTTAGAGACAACACTTAGACAACAGGTGAATCAGACTCTATGTTGATGTAAACCAGCCTCCATGAAGGATTTAACGAAGTTTTGTTGTTGTTTCTTATCTTTTCTTCTTTATCCCTCTCATTTTCACGGTACCTGATATTACAAATCCTGAATGGAGAGAAATACTCCCATTCACTTTGCCAAAAAAAAAAAAAAATCAACATTTTACAGACTTAACACAGAAATACAGAAGAGGAAAGAACAGCCTAAATTGCTGCATTTGATTTGGTCTTTGTAGAAATGAAAATGCCAAGTGAATGCCCTGTTCACTATCACATCATTACTATGATTTTAAAGCATGTTTTCTGATCCTGGAGTTTCTCAAGAATACTGCTGACTTTTCTCACTTCTCTAGATCCACTGAATTAACCTGTGTAGAGAAATCATGTTTTATAGAAGTCATGAATGTTCTTATTGAGGATAAAATGAGCAAATCAGTATTTCTTGAATAACTCAATGTTGTCAAAGACAGTTCAGGTTTCTTGGCTGGACTGTCCTGCGCTGTTGGCTCACAGGATTATTAATTTTGATAACACTGAGACCTCTTTAAATGCCCAGCTTTGGTGTGTTAAAAATTTCCCACGTCCCTCCAGCCACACAACCACCACTCCTTTCACAAGTCTTTATCAATGGCTGTGACTGTGGCACAGGGATAACATCCCATTCACAGAGATCATCCTGGTTTATCACTGAGAAGGCTTGTACCACTTGATATCCCTGAACAAATGATCCAGGTGGTGAAACATAAGTGTCTATATTTATATCTGACACCCTACAGCACCCAAAACATCCTGACATGGGCAAACAGGAAGGCTCATGCAAGAAGCAGCAACTGGAGGTCAAGTGAGATACACTAAGGCACTTCAAAGAGTCTGGACAAATGTCTTAGATTTCTGTCCTGCCCACTCTGGATTTAGCTGGATGTTAATGTCATATACACAGTGCATATGTCAGGGCAGCTACAGGGTGTTCAGTTTTAGTTCCTATCCCTTCTTCCTTTGTACAAGTGCTTAGGAAGCATCTTCCTAACGTGGTCCAGTCCTGCTGTCTCTGCTGTCAGCTCACAGCCTGGCTTTGGGCTCTTTGGCTGCACCACCAGGAATATTCTCTCCCTCTTTGCTAAGTTTGAAACGCTGGAAACAAAACGAGAGAAAGCTTATTTAAGTTTCCAGCATGAATGAAGTGGCAACATGTATTTATTTCCACGAGCAGGGAGGTGTATGGGTCTCTTCTGATCTGCACAATTTCTCCCACATGGTTCCTTTCTTGGACCAGCCATACAACTGATCAATGCTTTACTGAAACACATGATTCTAAAATTTGGTGATCTGGTTTACACATATAACCAGGGCAGGGCTGGAAGCAGCACAGATGTGTTCACCTGCTTCTCTGCTCGGGTTTATGTCCTGACAATGGCTTTCTTAATGGAACAGATCACAATAAAGCAGAACCTTGAGAGTGCAATAAAGTCAATGTAATATATAGATTGTAATTTAACATGATTGTTATTAACATTACCATAATGTCAAGGGAACAGTGAAGAGTTAAGTACTACAAATTACACGCAGCATATGCCAGTTTATTTTTTTAGTGGCCACCTTAATAAAAGCAAAGGAAGAAAAATGAAAGCTCTGAATTTGTTGTATATCTGTAGTGTCCCAGCCAGTTGCTCTTGTCTTTTTGTGTTCTCTCAGAACTAAACAGACATTGATTATTTTTGCTTTCTTTTTACCTAAACAAATAAAGGCCTTTTCTAAACTGATGTGAGTCAAAATCTTTCACTCCATGGAGAGCAGTAATTTTTTTCAAAAATGTGAATTTCATGCACCATCCACTTGGTTTCTTGATTTTTCTAGCATGTGTCAAAATAATCTTTAACTGCTCATATCACTGATGTCTTCTGGGACACTGAAACCACACTGTCTCTGCTGAACACAGGAAATTGCAAATGTGCTTGAGGCAAAAGGAATGAAATGAGGAGGCCCTGGAGTTCAAGCTTCCACTTCCATTTGAACTGGGCTCTGCTGTTCAGTTGTTGCAGACTGACTTGACAGATTAAAGACTCTACCAGTGCATAGACAATGGAGAAACATCAAACCCAGGGATCCTTTCAGGAGAACGAGCATTAAAGCACCTCTACATTCCACAGAGAAACCTTTTCTTGTTAACAATCCAAACCTTTTTGTATTTTCTCAGGTATGGAATAGCTCATTAGCAGAGGTGACAGGCAGCTCCTATTCTCTCCTCTGACACTGAGGTTAATGTTTCCTCCCCTTCTTTGCTTTCTCACTCCATTTCTATGTTCCCCAATATTATTTTCTTTTTAAATCTGTTGATGAAGTGGTACAAAATGACACAGAGATCATTATGGAAAGTCACATCAAAACATTCTGGCAGCAGTGAGAGCTTAAGGAAGGCTCCAGGGACAGGTGAATCACGTGGCTCTGGTGCTCTCTCTGTGCCCACCAGTCTGAGCCTCCTGAGCCAGAACTTACTCAGATACAATGGACTAAATGCAGTCAGTTCAGTCAGAGCCATCTGACCAGATGTGCCTGTAACATCTGAGCTTTTAAACTTAGGCTGTCTTCAGAATCAATCAAGTCCTGGCTTTGATACACCTCTGGTAAAGGAGATGCCAAGAATAGAGAGGATAAATCACGTTCTTTTGTCTTTTCACTATAGATCGAATTTAAACCTTTTCAAACATCTCTGATTATCCCTTAGGACATGAGCATGGTGGTTTTCTTGGTATTCTTTCAGAAATTCATAGAATCCCAGAATGGTTTGGGTTGGAAGGGACCTTAAAGACCATCCAGTCCCACCCCCTGCCATGTGCAGGGACACCTTCCACTAGACCAGTTCACTTCAAGCCCCATCAACCTGACCTTGAACATTCCAGGATGGGGAATTCACAGCTCTCTGGGCAACCTGTTCTAGTGTCTCACTAACTTCTGTCATATGATGGACTTTGCATGAATATATCCATAATATAATTCTTGTGATATTTAACACACACAGTTTCAAGCTGAAAAGAGTTCTGCAAATTAACAATAAGTGTGTGAAGAAATATTTCCTTCTGTTTAGTCACATCCTGCTTGCGTAGACAATGTATTATTATTAATATTAATAATAATAATAGTATTATTAAATGACATCTTTTCTAATCAGTATATGGTGAGCTGTATAGAAACTGCCACATTTATGTATTGAGACAACCCCTGGACACCCCTTTCAGACCTGGGCAGCTGTGGAGAGTGACCCAGCACTAACAGCAGAACCCTGGTTTTCTTGCTATTTCTCTTTTATCCTTTTAAAAGATATTCTTAAATCTTGAATGTCAGGCAATGCAATTTTCTCTCTCTTCAGTGAGGCTGAGGGGATGATGTAACAAAAGCCCTTAAGTTCTTGGGAGATCCTAGAGATGTGTGACAATATATCTTTTCCAGGCACTTGGGAGCCCTTAGAACAGAACCGTGTTTGTTTTGAAGACAAATCTAATATGGTTGTGCCTGGTGTATCCCAGCTGGAATACACTGGAATACATTCCCAGCTGGAATGTATCACTGGGATCTTGGAGATGAAGCTGTGTAGCATTTCCAGCTCCCACAAATGGTGGGAAAAGCTTTTCAGGAGAGGTACATCAGGAGACCCTCTCTGTCCTTGAAATAGAGGTGGTGGCTTAGAACATTTACAGGGTCAAAAGGGTTCAAATGGCTCCGTGCAGCATCACACAGGCACCATCAAACTGGGATTATCAGGGACTCAGTGAGTGGTTTGGGTTGGAAAGGACCTTAAAGATCATCCAGTTCCACCCCCTGCCATGGGCAGGGACACCTTCCACGGGCAGGGACACCTTCCACTAGCCCAGGTTGCTACAAGCCCTGGCCAACCTGGCCTTGGACACTTCCAGGGATCCAGGGGCATCCACAGCTTCTCTGGGCAACCTGTGCCAGGGCCTCCCCACCCTCACAGGGAAGAATTTCTTCCTAACACCTGATCTAAATCTCCCCTCTTTTAGTTTAAAACCATTCCCCCTTGTCCTGGACTGTCTGCCCGTGTAAAAGTTTCTCTCTTTTTTATAAGCCCCTTTAACAGAAAATAGAAAAAACAAACAAACAAACAAACAAAAACACGTCAACAAAAAAAAAAGAGAAAAAAGATTTGGATCAAGTCATCTTGGTTTAATTGGCATTACATTCTCTTCAGGCAAAAGAATTTGCTTGGTGTGCTCTGGGAGTAAATGAAAAAGGAAAAATAGGGAATAAACAGGGTGAAAGTCTGAGAGAAACAGCTTTTAATTTAGTTTAGAATCCGGAATGGGGTTAATGGACTGTGCAAAGACTCGTAAGAAACAGGTGGAAGATCAAACTGAGCCTAAATTGATTTCTGATTCCTCTTTAAATGATTTCTCTATTTAGAGATACCCTTGTTCTAACTTTATATGAAGAAGGAATTCAATAAAATAAAGCAAAGACGTTAGAAATTCCCTTGACAGGGGCAACAATATAAACCCCCCAAATAATATATGAGAATTTTAATTCCTTAGTTTGGCCTTAAATGTACTACAAGAAGAAAAAAGAAGAGTAAAAGAAAAGAAAAGAAAAGAAAAGAAAGGGGGAAAAAAAGGGGAAAGAAAACAAAGTTTGTTTTCATTTTCTCTCAACCTCTAATGGTCTTTTTATTTCTTTTTCCTTTTTTTTTTTTTTTGCAACAGGACCTTAAAATTTACTGATGCTTCCTGATAAACTCCCTATTTTAATTTTTTATCTGTCCTTTATTCACATTTTCTCCCATATTTCAGGTTGCAGCAACCCACTCCAACTGCATCATTAAAAAGGAGCAAGAGACTTGTCTGGAGAAGATCCGGAGGGCAGCTGCCCTGAACCCTTTCAATGACTCTTCTCCGGGTGAGTTTCAGACCATGGACGTTGAACTGATGGGTTTTAAACATTTCCTGTGATGCCTGCAGGGGTTTTCAGCAAACACTTGATGGTAAGAGGTGCATCACCGCTGCTGAATGAGCTTAGAGGAACAGCAGAAGGACAAAAATTCGATCAATGGGGATGTACCAGAACCATTCGTGGTTATTACAGAGGTCAGGAATTTGTTTCTTTACCTTAGGTCACGGAGGGACATCTGTCTACAAAACTAATCCCCTCCAAAAAAAAAAAAAGAAAATTAAAAAGAAGCAGTGTGCCTGGATGAACTTCTGCTGGGGCAGGTGACAGCAGTTCCTGGGGACTGGACATAAGACTAAAAGCATCATCTGTCTGCTCTGTAGCAGCTCTTTTCCCCTCATCAGCTCAGTAATAATTTGTGCATCTCTCACATGATCTGAAGACCTTTACAGGGATTAAGGTTGTGATGGCTGTAATCTTGATGAAGGATACTTGTGCTGCTGCTGAGATAAGAAACTGAGGCAGCCAGCAAAGAAGAAATTTATAGTTTAATATCCTGCCTTATTTCCTACTGACTGCAGCAGGAGCTGCCTGTGCCCAGCACCAAGGAGAGAAGGGCAAAGAATGACAAAGAAACTAATTGGAAATCAGGGTCCATTTTCTGAGTCCTGTCCAAGCTGCTTCTGCTGTGACTGGAATTGATAAAACCGCAGAGAAGAGCAGATAAAACCACATTGTGCCTGATAAAAGAGGGGGGTTTTCTCCTCCATTTTCCTGGGCACATATTTTAGCCCAGAAGTAAAGGAGGGTGGGATGCAGAAATCTGTGTTACCAGAGTGTCCTCTGAAGCAAACCATTCCAAGGAATATTCCTATCAGAGTCCTCTTATTCATCTCATATATAAAACTGATTCTTGTTGTGCTTCCCAGCTTTGGGTAAATGAGGAAATTTTGGTGGATTTGAGGAAAGCATGTACCTCAGGCAGTTCATTTCACCCCCAGGGAGGTGGTTTTGAGACACCCTTTGTGCTCTACAGCAGAGCCTCCCAAAGCTTTCCCAATCCAGAAGTGCTAAAAGCAAGGACAAAAGGGGAAAAAAACCCTGTTTCCCATCCCCTACCCCCAGAATGATGCCAGAAGCTGACCATGAGCCCTACTCCTTATGCTTATGCAATGACTATTGTTTGGACTCAGGAATTCATAGATTTCCCCAGGTGAAAAGAAACCATTTCACCAGCCAGTTTGGTCTTTATCCCTCAAATCCAGAATAACCCTGACAGCTGGTGGACTATTGAGACCCAGCTCCTCCCCCTGCCTGTTCCAAATTCAAAGAGCACAGCTCAGAGATAGAGGAAGTCCAGAACCATTGGAAAGGCTTTTGCATCTCAATGTGATTAAATTGTATCACCCACTCAGGCAGGCAGGGACTGGATCCTTTCAAGCTGTCCCTCAGAGCAGAACCCAGCTGCTCTTTATCCTGCTCCCCCAGTATTTGCAGACTGAATCACTGGGAAGATTTTTTTCCCAGGCTCATTGAGCATCTTTTAGTTGTTCACCACATCCTATGGCAACGAGTTCCACAGTTTATGTGGCTTTGGATAAAGAAACCATATCCCCTCATAGTCATTAATCTCCCAGTGAAGAACTCTGCTGTATTTCTTGTTTGAGAATTGTTTCATTCCATGGATCCTGCTTGTTGACCTTTTTTTCTACTTTTAAAATATTTTTTTTTTGTTGACCTTTTTTTCTACTTTTAAAATATTTTTTTTTAATTGTTGTAGGCATGTCTTGAATATATCTCATTTGACCTCTGGGACTACAGCATTCCACTCTACCTCCTTTAAGTCCTGACCTCTAGACTCACCTTTCATTACATGATACTTATTTCAAGCCAGATCCCACCACCCTCATTCCCAAAAAAGCCTTATGTCCATAGTTAAAGCAAAAACTCCACCACCTGCTTACTGTTTGTATTTTTTGGAGAGTATTTTCACTCCAAAGCACCCTGAAGATGTTGTAACTCTCCATAAACTAAGCAGTCATAAGTGCAGTATGTTGATTCCCCTTGATTTTCTCCTGCTGCAGACAACCTGTTTTTCTCTTGGGAGAAATGAAAATTAGATGACATTTTTGTGTGTGTGTGTGTTATTCAACTGTAGCACTAAGATTTACTAAGGATGGCAGGTAGTGAAGAAATATGTTATTAACTTGTTTCCTTCAAAGAGCGAAAAACACAGGAAATAACTCTCTTGCTTGTCAGAAATAGCTGAAAAAAAAAAAGAAAAAATTCCTCCTGACTGGTGAGTAAACTTCTGTTTATTTAAGAGGAAGGAGAAGAACACAACTGTTTCTTCCTTTTTTTGATTATTCCTGCATGAAAATTTCCATAGAACAATTCAACATACTCATTTTTCTGAGAATTTCTTTCTCCTCAGAGGGGTTGCAGGGTATAAAATGGGATTGTGAGCTTTTAGGGAATCTTAGAGACTTGGAAACGTGGTCAAGTTGCTGTGACTTAAAAACAGTCCACCAAGTGACCTCTGCAAGCAAGACCAGTCCTTGTTCTTCTGGGGCAGGTGACAAAAAGTCAGATGGTCACATATAAAACTTGGATCTAGGACGTGAAAAGTCTGTGTGTTCCCCTGTCCCTCCCACTCTACCTCTCAAGCCCAGAAGTTCTTCTCTTTACTGTTTTATTCCTCACACCACTGTTTTTTCTCCTCCTCTACTGTGCTTATAATGCTTCAAAGACAATGATTGCCTTGAGATTTTCTGTTTGCTTTAACTTTTTTTTTTTTTCCATTAGTTTTCTGATGTCTTCTTCCTCTTGAAATACTTTAAATTTTTTAGGAATTTATATGAAAAGGAATAAGGGGTGTGTGCTGACCGTGTGTGTTCATTCCTGTTCAGCCATCCCCTACAGCCTGAATGAAAGAGAGAATTTGAAGGAAATGAAATCTCAGCGGGACCCAGAACCTGACTCCTTGACTCTGCAGAAGGAAGTAAACTGATAAAGGGAAATAATGAAATCCAAAGGCAGACAAGAAAGGAAAGAGAGGAGTGATTACTTTTCAGCAAACTTCTCCAGGCAGTGGAGCCAGGCTATTTCTTACATCAGTGTTTCCAATCTCCTTTGGTTGAGCTTTTATTCTTGTTCTAGTGTAGAACTGCCCCATTTCATGCTGGACCCTCCTCTAACTGTCACCAGCCCTCAAGGTGCTTTCTGCCAGATCAGAACTGATAAATCTCACTGCTGATCCACATGCACCATTTTCATTTTTATTTTTTTCCATTCAGACTCTTCTGACCTGTTCCCAAGCCTGGGGCTGGGAAAGAATGACACAGGAGTCACTCAGATGTTAATGACAGTTTCCTGGGTTATGTACCTTCAGCATGGGATTTACCTAATTAAATGTTGATACCTGCAAATGCATCTACACTGCAAATAAACAAGTCACCTTCCTCATTTTGCAGCTCTGGATATCCAGTGTGTTGAGCCTGAGACATAAATAATTTCCCTCTCAATGTAGATTAGATGATGCCTTTTGTGCTCTCTGGACATACAGAGAAGTAAAGATGACCATCTCAGCCCTAAATAATCCCACTGTAGGGGTCAGCATTTGATGGGACAAATCCCACCTTGAGCCTCTGGCTTTGTCATACTGACTAGGTCATGCTGGAGGTCTGGATTACCCCAAAAATCTGGGTTTTTACCATGGTACGTTTTGATGTGTAGGTGAATTCTTCATGTCATCCATGTAGTGGATCTACTCAGGCTTGGGTGAGCAAGTTTTGCAGTCAATGACCTCAAAATACAGGTGGGTGCTCAGCAGCCTCCAAATTCACACTCGCCACATGGATGCACTGATGAGAGAATCTCCTGGCTGTCTTCTGCTTCCTGGTGGGATTGTCCCTCTCCTAGTTGTCACCTCAAGGGCCAGACACACCTGTCTGGCTTGATCTGTGATCTGATACTGCCCATGGGGTTCACAGGATCACAGCCAGGAACTTGCCACTCAGTGAAATCCCACGATGGAAAGAGCCTTGCTGATGAAATGTGGAATCTCCAGCTGTGGATTTGCATGACAGACTTTTCCCAGCCTGTCACCTGTCTTACTTTCAACTGTTGGAACCAGATATCCCAGACTTGTCCCTTGAGTGTGTCTCTGTCTCAAATGGTGAGGGAGTTCCCTGAGTGATCTGCAGGTTTGTGCCTCTGTTCATAGAATTTAAAATGTAGTAATTTGGAGTGAGCCAAGATATGACAACAGTGAACTCAGCACAAGAATTTGAATGAAAGAGAAGTGCTGAGGACTCCTTGGTGATTTTGTGGTTCGTGACTCACTGTCAAAATAATCTTTAATTTATAGCCCCTGTTGTCTAATCCCACTCCTCCTGTCCTTCCTCTGAAAAATCTGGAAGGGCAGTAACATTCACAGACACAACAAGGAATTCAAAAGAAATAAGGATTTGAAGGGATGCAATGCCTTATGTTTGTTAAGAGGAATCCTCTCAGCAAGTTACCCTGTAAATCAACAGGAGAGAAACTGGAAAGGGCACCAAGGGAGTAGGAGATGGTGGTTAGGAGGTGATGTGGTAATGCAAGGAGAGGTTTTGAATTGTGTTTCCATCCCACAAAGATGATGGAGCAAGTTTTTTTTTTTCAGTTTCACGTTTTTATTGAGTGTCTCATCAGCTTCTTGTTCTTTCAGAGCCTTTGAATTATCTGCTGTTATTTCCCTTGGCACCACTGGGAAGACATTACTTCACTGTGTGCCTGTGTCTGTGTGCTGTGTCTCCCTCACTGGTGCACAAGAGCAACAGGACTGGGAATGAACTCAAGCTAATGAATTCTTAGAGTAGGAAGGGAAGACTGTTTCCTGTGTGGCTGCTTTTTAATCCAGGATGCAGACCTTTTATCTGCCAGAATACATCTGCCTTTGGTCATAGACGCTTTTTTTGCACTGCTGATTTCTCCATGTGACAATGCATGAAGTGTCTTCTACAAAC